AAGTATTCTTTGATATGATGGGAAACCTTTACTGTTATCTCTAAAGTTCGTTCACGTCAATGCCCTGGGCATAATTATAGTGAGGTGGTCTTCCTACATCTTATATAGACACAAAGTTTATGACAATTTCTTCTAGACTAAGGAGCAACCTTACAACATACTCAAAAAGTCATTCTTAATAACATTCTAAGCACGGTTGTGGTAGGGTAATCATTCCTCATTTCATTCAGACATAAAGCTTTTAAGAAAACTTTCAAACTGGGTAGCAACTACAAAGATAATGCTTCCTCACCCTCTCCCCCCAATCCCAACACTATACTGGAGTTTTTTTCTCAACTGTGTCAAGAAGCTAATCTCTTCAAGATTTGATATATGGATTGCTTTATAAGCACATGTAGAAAACACCTCTATTAGAGGCCAATAAAATATTTTAAAAGAAGCAACTAGCAAGTTGTCGAATACTATTTTTGAGTAAGGCTACAAACACATTTATAAGAAAAAGTATGATCTATTTTGACATATGCCTCATTCTGAAGAAATGCAGAGCATCTCTAAATTCTCATTTTAGGATAAATTTATCTCAAATAGATCAATCCGACCTCTTCCATCATAGATTATCACTATCAAGTAGAAGCTTTGACTAAGAGCCTCAAATATGTCAAAATCCTTAATATAACCCCTTCAATATCTTCCAAAACCGGTTTTGATTATCGAGCAGAAGCTTCGAATAATAGTCAGTGATTATCACTATTATTTAAGTCTTGGTAATAACTCCAAAAAACATGATCCGCTCCCTAATAACTTGGTTGAAATTTTAAAATTAGATATTCTTCCACACTGAGATTTATCACATAAGAAAACAAATCATTTCAATAATATAGGGCTTGATTAAGTCCAGATTTTTGATCCTACAGAGATAGAGGTAATGACTCCCTTAAGAAAAGTTATAGTCTACTACTAATAGGTCTTAGCATGGAATATTGATTAATGCAGCTTTCTAAATTATTATTCCTAAATTACAACACTAAGTCTAAAGCTAAATCTAGCTAGATTAATTGGTTTGGTGAATATCAAGTGAAAAAAGCTACCTTTCTCTTACGATTGCAAAAGTAGATTGTGGGATTGAACACTATGAATTACTATTATGATTAGTGACAAATAAGAGCATATATCGTGTTTACCCTCTTTCGAGGGTGTAAAGAATTTGGGTTAACCTAGTTTTAATTCCTTAAACCCTAGATTTATCCCTTCAAAGCATATTTCCCTATCTATTTGCATTTCTTATAGTCTACTTTCATTATAGCCTACAGAACAACATGAATACTCTAGTTGTGCTTCCGCCGCTCTCGCGAGTTCTAATGGATCACAACAAATTTTGATAATTCATATGGTCAGTATGAAAAGTAAACGAAACATAGAAGAATACTCATCACATTGATATTAAAAACCAATTCTAAAAGCATTCTACGCATTCTAAAAATCCTAGTTATTCATCATAAGAGACAGGTAAAGGAAATTTACTCATAAAGCATGAATAAAACCATAGAAATCCTCATCATTTAACAAAAGCAAATCCCCTAAATATCTATTTACAACAAATACAGGATAAATAATAACATGATACTTAGCTTTTCTCCTCTGAAAAGAGATGAAAAGTCCCTCCAACAATGTATTCAAGTGCTTCTTGCAATGCTGAAATGATCCCCTTACAAATTTCTCTCAAAATCCCTCACTAATCTCTCAAGAAAAATGGAAAATACCAAACCCTAGATCTTCTTTTGACTCCTCTGCCTTCCTTCACTATAACTGGCCTTTACAAGTTTCTTCAGTTCCTTATGAATTGGTTTAGCAAAAGTTGTTATTGTCGACCTGAGATTCTATTTCATTGGTCAGGAGGTAAAACTGGGGTTTAGCCCATGACAAGCCACATAGATGGGGATGCCAGGTATTTCGCTCACCGACCAAGCAAAGACATCCCAGTTTTGTTGGAGAGCCTAAATCAAAATACTTTTGTCACATACATCAAAAGTTTCATTAATCAGAAATGAACACCACATTGGATGCTTCTTTTTGATGTGTTCCTTCACCAAACACGCTCCTCTTCTTGTTGAAGGCAAAACTCAATACTCACCACACCTTTTCGAATGTTGGATTCGAAATTGTCTTGTGGATCACACACAAAGAATAGAGGGTCGGTCGAATGAAGGAAAGAGAAACAATACACAAGTAATACTTAATTTTTTTGAAAATTTTCTCAGGATTCCCTCCTAGTGAAAATGATCCTCCTATCTATAATTTTTCAATAAGGTATCACAAATGACTTGATTGCCAATAAGGTATCACATGTTACTATAATGTATAATCCATTACAACTTTAAATATTTGTAACTGAATAATACATGCTCTGCCCTTTGTAACTATTCTTGGCTTCATTCTATATCTGTAACTACTCCTTACGTCATTTCCTATTTGTAACTGCTAGCCATGAATATTTGGTATTCATTCGGTCAGCCCATAATCACTCAGTTGACTGAATAATCTTTGGTCGATTGAATGGGATTCAGTCGAATGTTGATCTTTTATGAGTGTAGATGTTGTTTGAGAGTGTTGTGTGGTCGCGCGGTGTTTGTTGAGTCGGTTAATATTTCGTTCAGTCGGCTTCATGTGTAGACGGATACATATATATATATATATATATATATATATAAAATGCCCAGAGAATCACTATTGTCATCTCTCAGATTTTATAAATTTTACTAATTTTTTTTAATACGTCGATTTTGTTTAAGAAAATTGATACATATGATTTTTGAAAATTTCTCATATAATAAACTAGCATCATCCTCTTAAAAAAACCTAAAAAAATCTCAATTATTTATTTATTAATTAATTAAAATAAATTACTTAAAAATTACCAAAAATTGTTAAGCAGAGAAGTAACCGACGGACTAATCTAACCGACGTCATCGGCGAAAACATGCCGTCATCCGAGCTCTCCTCCCCTCTACAGCGGCCAGACCACATCAAGCTCGAGACCAACAACGACGTCTCCATTTTTGGCCTTTTCAATAATCTCATTCAATGCTTTGGATTTTTCCCGGACCGTAATGATTAAAGAAGCCTAAAGCGATGCGCCCTCGCAACCCCATGAACCAACCAATAGACAAGACCAACCCGACACAATCACACACCACATTATTTTTTCCATTAAATCTTATTGTCTTAATTAAATATGAGTTTCTGATTTTTAGCTTATTATAAATAACTAAATTTTTTTTATTTAAAAAGAATAATTAGCTAGAAATAATTTAATCCCATTTCCTTTTACATTAATTTTTTTTTTATTTTTTTTGAAATAACTATATGAGGCAATTAATTTATAGTTTTGATCCTCTTTTATAGAATCATCTTCTTCATTGCTTAGGATGCAAGTTTTTTTTTAAAAAGGGATAAATTCTATTTGTGACTTTTAACTTTATTATGGCTTACAAAAGTTGTTGGATTTTTTTAGCAATGTTATATTTTGCCATTGAATTTGTGAAGAAAATTCTTCGCTTTGTTGGATCGACTCGTTGACATATTTTGGATATACACGATTCATATTCTTCTTCTTAATCATAGTCGAGTTTAGCTTTCGGGTATGCATCGCCATCTTTTTATGGTTTAAAAATGACAACAATCTATATTAAATCAAACTAAAAAATTTTGGTGTTCATATTAACTCAATAAACATCTGGGTCAAGTTTAGGCCTAAAATCCCAACCCATTTAATTTTCAAATAGCATTTGAGTAGACCTACACACCTAAGTTGATCTATTTTTAACTCAAAATTAAGTCGAAAAATATTTATGTCTTATATAAAATGAGTTATTTGGGTTGGGTGTAAGTCAATTGGGTTTAATGCTTGTCGTTTTTGGGAACTTGTTTAACAATTAGGCCAGATTCAAGCCATGTAGATTTGGGTCAGGTCAATTTCGGTTCAATCACATTAATGTGATGCATCAAAGGGAAATCAGCTCTCTGATTGTGCCTTATTAAAAAACAGTTGTGAAGCAGCTGAAGAATAATTTAATGCTAAAAAAACTACGATGACTATTACAATTTTTTTTTTTTTTGTAAAAATGTAAATTTCAGTGGCATCTTTTTAAAATACATGTAGTTTACTGAAACAGACAAAATTGTAGCAACACACCGCACCGCCAGCCCAAACAGACCCTAAATTACAAATTTCTTTCTTCATTTTGTTCTCCTGCAACCTTCAATTATAAATCTTAAATTTGCTATGCATTCACGTCCAACTCTAATCACTTACTTCTTGCTCCAACATTACTCAAGGCTCAGCCTTTTCCTTCGGCGACCTCATCTTTGGTTCCGTGCATTTATCTCAAACAATCCTCCAAAATTAAAACACAACGCATTCTGAAAATGCACTGCATCCTTAAAATCAATGCCATTTAAAAACTGCTATAAATTATTCATCCAACATTAAGGATTATTTTAATTAAGTCTGCATGAAACGTAGGCTAGATTCAGATAACCATTGATTTAGAAAGAAGTAAACAAAAACTAAAAAATAAAAAAACTCATTGTATGCATGGTACTCGCAACTAGCAAGCCATCGCGTGGCGGATCCGGTTACCGAGTGGGTGAGCGAGAGATCCTCATCGCCCAACCCCCAACAACAACAAGGACGTAGGCAGCCGCATTCGCGCAGCATCAGCCGCCTGAAAAAGCCTGCGAAAGAAGCCCTGATGATGATGACCGCCTGCTATGTGTTTTGCCACCCACATTGTTACATATTAATCCAACCAAATAAAATAAATAAAAGAAAAAACAGTTCCATTTACGACAACGAAAAAGTTGTAAATCGGAACACGAAAAAACGGTTTCGAAAACGTCAGAAGCTGTTGGTGGCGTGGGAGAGTTGCGAGAAAAAGCAGAACCAAAGCAAAGCCGCGCGCTCTGCCTTTTTCCCTCTCTCCTTTTGCATGCGCTCCCCCCCTCACGACCTCATTCGATCTTCCCATATTGCCCCTCTCGTTCTATAAAGCCTCCCTCCCCTACCTCCTTCGCTTTCACCAGCCATTCCTCAATACATCTTCTTTGCGCAGTCGATCGTGAGAGAGAGATAATGCAGTACGAGGCTGCGGAGGCGTGGGCTGCTGCTTACTTGGCGGCGGCTGCAGCGGCTGGGAGAGGTGGAGGTGGAGCAGGAGCCGGAATGTGGGATCCTGCGGTGGAGAGGGTGGAGCGGCTCGCTGCCGAGAGTGCGGTGGTTATCTTCAGTGTGAGCAGTTGCTGCATGTGCCACGCGGTGAAGCGATTATTCTGTGGAATGGGGGTGAATCCTACGGTCTATGAGCTCGATGAAGATCCTCGAGGGAAGGAAATAGAGCGAGCCCTCACCCCTCGGATCGGCAGCCGTTCCCGTCGTCTTCGTCGGTGGGAAGCTCGTCGGCGCCATGGACCGCGTCATGGCTTCTCACATTAATGGAACCCTCGTCCCCCTCCTCAAGGAGGCCGGCGCTCTCTGGCTTTGATTATTAATTAATCACATTACTATCCTTCATTACTACCTTTTTTTTAACTTTCCGTTTAATTACGTACCGGGTGCGTGCAAGAGAGGAATCCGGTCTTTCGTTTTCTTTGGCTTGGTTTTTCTTAATCTTCTCGGCATCGTTTTGGTTTCAGAGGAGGGCGAGAGAAGAAGTTATCAATCTGCTGGTTTACTGAGTTTGTGGGTTTTCGATTAGGGTTTTTAGTGTGAAACAGAGAAATGTAATTTGTTTAATTTGCTCCTGTATAGAAAGATTACATTCCGGGTCGGGAAAAAAATCAAGGGGTGGGAAGAAGACGCTGTTTTCTTCTTCTTCTTCTTCTTCTTCTTAGTTCTTACATTTTAATTAATGCAGACTTTTCAATTTAATTTCCTTAATCCCTGCTTATTTGATTTGTTATCTTCTGCTCTGATACTTCTGCTGTGTCATCCAACATGGAGTTATCGATCTTCTTGCGTAAATATATGATTTGTTTGACTTCGATCATCTTATAATTGCTTCGTCTTCATTGATTAATATATATGATTAGTAAATTTTCTGCACATTTTCAGATGAAGAATTTCTGATATGAATACAGAATGGTGAAATGAATGTCGGGCATCAATAGTACATTGATTTATTACTAAAAATATAGAAGGAATGTTATAACATTTTATCGTCAAATTGTACGTGAAATATGCTTTTTCGTTATATATTTAATTAAATAAATAAATAAATGCATATATATATATGTAAAAATAGCTCTACTTTATTTAAATGTGAAGTTTACAGGCACAGCACCGTACAACTGTGTTCGTCAACAATGGCATTACTTTTGAAGCGTGGTCCTGAATTTCAGAGACAGGGTGAGTCTCCCCAACAAAATGTAGAGAGAGAGAGGAGAGAGAGAGGAGAGAGAGGAGAGAGAGGAGAGAGAGAGGAGAGAGCTTTTTAGGATAAAACTAGAAACAAATTAATAGGGAATGAAATAAAAAATTCTGCTGTCGGCATTTGAATAAATGTTTGCTCAATATTTTAATATGGATTTGCATGTAAATTTAAATTACAATATTAGCATTGTCATCTTATTAAATATTAAAAATAAGGCGATGATATCTTAATAAAGAACTTGGTCAAAGCATTTTATAATTTGGGAAATAATTTATTTATATATTTTTTTAAAGAAATTTAAATTTATTATAATTAAATTTGAAATAAAATTTATGACCTTTTTTTTATTGAACATACTTAGGGAAAAGAAATATTATCATGAATTTTGTTCAAAAAATTTTGATGAGGTAATAGATGACACGTACTTCTTCCACTTTCGGGACAATAAAAAGCCGACATGCCACATCATCAAAAATATTTCCCACAGAGTCCACCCCTGCCCGAGTCGACATACTAACTATGTTTTGGTTGCTTGGGTCGACAAGTCCTACACCCACACAAGTGGAACGTGGTGCCTAATGAGGACTCATGTTGTGTTCTGCTCAGTTGCATTAGTTGGTCCCATTCCAATTGGACCTGTGGTGGCCAGTTATGGACAAGGAGTGGAGAATTTTGGTTTCGAATTCTCATTTTTTTTTTTAAGTTTAAATTTCATTAGTTTCAACTAGCAGGTTTCAATGTGCATTAGTTGGTCCCATTCTCAAAAATAAATTTTCTCTAGCAACAGGATAACCCAAATATTAAATGGAATTCATGGGCCTAATGGATAGAACCGATTGCCCATGCACTCGATGTCTTGACCTTGATCAAACTTATAATACTCGTTATCTGCACTTTTTAAGATGTCAAGTTATTCGGTTCTTACCACTCAGAAGAATCTAGCGGGTACCTACACTGAAGCTCACAAATATTCACGCGAGTTCTTCGATCAAGGTCGCCAATCTTATGGCTTCAGGTGAGCTCCTCTAGCCAAGTTTACTCATGTTTTTCATAATGCTTTAAGAATTAGATCTGACCGGCCATTTTGATCGTGAATTGATATTTGAACAGGCTTAGAAATCCTCAAACCCCTTTTAAACTTCAAAACTAAAAAACCGGTCGAATTGGTGGTTTGGCTGGCAAACTAGCAAACCGATTCACCAATTTTACACGCAATTCCCCCCTCTTAAGATTGTTACTCCACCTTAAAAGAAAAGTTTGGTTTAATCAATTTAAACTTTAGGAAAATAAAGTTATGAGAATATTTGGAATTTAGAGCGTGTATAAACTTATATCATTCCCCTCTCTTTAAAGCTCACCTTAAATTTATTAATATATTACAAAAATAATTAAAATCTTTTAGTTCAAATGTTTAGATTGCCCTACTCTAATTATAAAAGTTTTGCAAATCATTCCCTTTACTTATAAGAATAACAAACCATAGGCATGTAAGCCTAACATGGATTTTCACGTGAGACCTAAATATCACAACATGGATTTTTACTTTTGAAATATAAACATCACAACCTGTATTTTAGCATGGAAACATAAACATCCCAACTTGCCTTTTACATGGAAACATAATGAATCCAACTTGTATTTTTGCATGGAAACATAAACTTCTTGAATTGAAATTTTGCATGGAAACATAAACATCACATGGATTTTTTTTGCTTATGCATCAAACATAAAGCTAACCACCTAAAATATTACATGGAATATAAAGCTACCTCATGGAAAATTTTCTTGTTATTTTTGCATTAGACATAAAGCTAACAAACTTGAAATTTTGCATGAAATATAAAATAGCCATATGGATTTTCTATTGCAATAACATAACATAGCAACTGGATTTTTCTATTTGCATGGAACATAACATAACACATGGATTTTATATTTGCTTGGATCATAACATAATACATGAAATTTGTATTTGCATGAGATAAAAACACAAACATATGGAAACCCTTTTCTTTTTTATGAGACATAACATAGCTAAATGAAATGTTTTCTTTTGCATGAGACATAAGATGAGCACATGAAAAATTTTCTATTACATGAGACATAGGATAAACACTTGAAGTGTTTCCTATTGCATGAGACAAAAGATAAGCACATTAAATGCTTTTTTCTTTGAGTGAGACATAAGATATGAACATAAATTTCTTTTTTGTTACATGAAACATAACATAACCATATGAAATACTTTTTTAATGGCATGGGTAGGAGCGAAGAAGGGGTAGGTAAGTTGGTTAGTGTTGGGTTTTTGGCTAGGAGAGAAAAGGGGAAGGTGAGTAAGTGATGGTATGGGTTTTGGGTAGGAGAGAAGAGGGGAAGGTGAGTGAGTTAAGGTTGGGTTTTTGGGAAGGAGAGAAGAAGGAAGGTGAGTGTGTTAGAATTTGGTTCTAGTATGAGAGAAGAGGGGAAGGTGATTGGGTTAGTGTTGGGTTTTTAGACATAAGAGAAAAAAGAGAAAGTGTGTGGGTTAAGGTTGGATTTTTGGGTTGGAGAGAAGAGAAGAAGGTGAGAGAGTTAGGGTTAGGTTTGTGGGTAAGATAGCAGAGGGGAGCGTGAGTGATTGATGACATGGCTTTCAAGTAGGAGAGAAGAGGAGAAGGCTAGTGGAGGATGACATGGGTCTGAGCAGGATGAATGGGGAGAAGGAGAGTGGCTAGGGTAACGGTTTGGGTATGATGGAAGCAGAGAAGGTGAGTGAGTTAGGGTAGGATGAAAGAGGAAGAAGGTGAGTGAGTTATGGCATGGGGTTAATGTAGGATAGAAGAAGAAGGAGATGGGAGAAGATTCACTTAGGGTTTCACCCAATGAAAGAAGACAGAGGAGGGAGAGAAATTCTATGGAAGAAATGAAAGGGAAAAGAAGAGATTCACACCACAATTATACAAACTAATTCCATAAAAAAACTTTGAAATGAAAAACAATAAGTGATTTATATCTTTGCTTGGGTAGAAGTATTTGGTTCCTTTGATTGGATGAAGTGAGATCCTTAACCTCCTTGATGAAGAGAGAGGAGAGGAGTGCATTGGAATTTTGAACTTAATGTGAGGAGATGAGAGGGCTTGGGATGTTTCAACTATTTGAGGAGATGAGAGAGGGAGAGAAGGTTTTCAGCTTTAGAGATACTGTGGAGGGGCTTGGGAAGTTTATGACAAGGGAGAGGAGGAGTGGAATTTCATGTAAGACAAGGATAAGAGGGAGATTAGGGAGATTTAGCTAAGTGGTGTTTAAGTGGAGGGAGATTTAGAGAGCATGGTTAAGAAGGGAAGTGAAGATGTAGGATGAGAGGGGGGGGTGGGGTGCAAAAATTTGAATTTGCGGAGGTGGTTATGAATGGTTATGGACAAAATCATAACTATTACTCATTTAAAAAAATATGTAAGGAATCCAGTGATACAATTAGTTTTTTTTTTTTTTTTTTTTTTGAAGTGGTGCTTATCTCAGGATATTTTAATTCAAATGGAGAGGTGGTTATGGCCAAAATTTTAACCTTAGCTCATTTAGTTTAGAAAAATGAGGAGAATACAATGGTGAAATTGGTTTTGAAAAGCTAGTTTTATCTCAAGATATTTCAAATCAAAGTGTGGGCCCCGCACTAGAAGAGAGAAATTTTTGTTGAATTTTAAATAAAAGTATTAATGAGTTTTGAATGATTAAATTACATGATTTTAGCTCACATTTACTTTAATTGAAATTTGATTTTGATTTGAGTCCATTTTGACAGAATTATTAGAATTGTTCTCTTATTATCAAAAGTATTGTCCAAATTTTTTAGGTTTAAAAAGCCCCCAAACGAAGTTTGATTTGGGCACATAAGGGTTCAATTGAAAGCTTTCAACAATCCAAATGCAATCGCACTGTTCTTTTTGAAAGAAAATTCTTTATTGAAAATTTTTAATATAGGACTATTTTTCATGCATGAAAACCTTATAATAAAAGATTTTACATAAAAAGTGTGGATCATCATCAAATTGATTTACAGGCTTCTCATATATGATAATGAATATCATGTAACTTACGAAATAAAATTTTCATCACTAGGTTGGTTTTGTGAGGAAAATGATAATTTTGGAGTGGTATACTATTCATGCATAAGAATTTGAAGTGAAAGGTTTATGCAAAACTTGTGTTATATAATTGTCAAACTTATTTTCTTTTTGTTTATTGTGATAACAAACATCATGTAATT